AGCCTTTGCTCATGATGTTCCTTCCACTGGGTTTTCCTTTTTTTCCATTGTTAATTTTTTTCTGCACTGAAATTCTGGATACTGGCTCAAACATTTCTAATCCTTTCAGTTCTTCTGTATCTGTATCTTGAATAGGAATTTTCACATGTTTTATGTGACTCTGTACTGTTTTTAGGCCCTGCCTATTAGATATATAAATTGCTCAAGATCAATAATTAAATTTTCCTTTTCTTATTTCTCCAAGGAATTAGCAGAGTCTCTAAAATAATTTAGTTGCTCCCAAAGTACGCAACACCTAAATTATTCTTTAGAAATTCTCTTAGAAAAATGAAGTGAGTATGTAAGAAGGGATGCTTTTTATTATAAAAATTGTTCATATTTGTGGTAAATCCCATGATCTTCATTAAAAGTTTCCAATTGGCATGACCAATAATCTGTTTTATTTTACTAGACTAAAAGCCTAATTTTTGCTACTGGAAAATCATCTTTATACCAGATACATCAAAGATTCTGCCTGACTCCAGGCAAGAGCATATTATCAATGGAGAAAAAGTAGATTTCATTCTACCCCAAAGGGAATATCCTTTGCAGTAGTCAAGGATAAAAAGCCTGGAATCCTGGAGGTATGATCAAAGCACAGAGAAAAATCTTGAGGCAAACCAGAGTAGTCAGTCACTGGGTAGGACATGGGGAGGGAAATAGGCTAGAAGATTAAAAAAAGGTGAGAGGTGGAGTCTCAGGACATGGATGAGACTCAGTGTCAGAGGTAGGGTAACATAGTGGAAGCAACCTAAGTATCCATCAATAGAAGAATGGATAAAGATAATGTGAATTGCTTCAAAATAAAAGAAATATCTGTGGAGTAGAGGAAGGGGATTGTGGGTGAGGGATGAGGGAAGAGATAAGGGAAGACCAGTGGAATGAAAATTCCTATGTACATACACAAATATACCACAGTGAATCTCATCTTTATGTATATCAACAGGACACTAATTTTAAAAAATTATAAGTACATAGCAAAAAGATCAGAAAATTACAGGGAAAGAAACAGGGGAAGGGAGGAGGAGAAGAAAAGGGAAATCACTAGGGTCTAAATTAGAGCAAATTTTATTCCATACTTTTATAATTATCTCAAAATGAATGCTAATGTTATATATAGGTAATAATAAATTTTAAAAAAGAGTAGATACCCAAAAAGAAAAGAAAATGTGGTACCACACCCACTTGGATGCTATTCAGCCTTTAAAAAGACGAAAATCCTTTAATTTGCAACAAAATAGATGAAATAAATTAGGCACAGAAATACAAATACAGCATGATCTCACTTATATGTGGAATCTAATATTGTCAACCTCATGGGAGCCAAGAGTAGAATGGTAGACTAGGGACTGAGAAGGTGGGGAGATGTTTATCCATAAATACAAAATTTCAGTTATATTGGAGGAATAAGCTAAAGAGATCTGTACCATGGGGACTATAGGTAGCAATTATTTTATACTTAAAAAATTGGTTAAGAGAATAGATTGTAAGTCTTCTCTCCACAAAACAATGATAAATCTGTGAGATA